AAAAGTGGCCCGTCAAATTGGCGGGAAAAAGGATCACATGTTGTCGCAGCATTGCCTGATTCAGAATGAGATTTACTACTCCTCTCCTATGACCTTGGATAAATTGCTCTGATGTCCTGCAACCTCCATCCCGCCCCCCGCAGTAAATATTTGACTGCCCTTGATGCTTGTGACTGGCTGTCAATCAGCACAATAGCCATTTGAAACAGTTGTTTATGCAAGCTTACCCCAATTTTTTTTTTAAACTCTTGCGCCAGGTCGCCCAACCCCTCCTGCTTTTTGTCTCCTGTGTCCTGTCAGCCTCCTCCCACTCCCTTCTACTCATCTGCAGAGACAGTGAAGAAGGCGTGAGGTTCGGTCTTTTAAGAATTGATTAAGCACAAAGGCACTAAGTGTCCGTGGAAGAGCTGGACAGCTGACAAAGCAGCTGCTAACCTAGAGATACAAACCCAGAGGTCGTTTTGCACAAAGACGCAAAGATGCTCCAATACAACAACTCAGCAGGTCGACATTTTCCTTGTAAGTCCGACACTCATTTAATAGGATGTTGCTCCAGGATTGGGCGCTATTAAGGAATCTTTTTTCTTGTGATTAAGCCATCTTTGGCAACCACATGTTTCAAACCTTTTTACTTTAGTTGTTTCTGTAGATGCTGTTGGTTTCTTCTTTTCCATCAGTTCAAGTTCTAACAACTTTTATTACAGATTCATTATTATTTTAAATCACTTAAAGTGTCAGAATCCAGGGTTCTCAACCCAATGTGATTATTTCAGATGCTTCATTATCACCTTATTGTTGAAGTCATTCATCAAAATATCTTGTCAATGACTGTTTTTTTGTTAACTTTCTTCACGTTTCTGCTCTCCAACCCACGTCCTCTTGTAATTCCACTAGACAAACAACAAGCATAAATTATATCACATCCTTTATTAAGTAAGCTAGGAGACACTGGATGAATAAAACAGCACATGCAGCATCCAGCATCAGTTGACTGACTAAAATGATTCAGCCAAACATCAAGCAGAACACTAGAGTTCATGTAAATATGAAAATATCAATAATTATTAATAAGTTAAATTCATGGGAGGAGGCTTTGCTAGCTGCAATGCACCCATGTTCAGTATGTGTTACACTGCAAGAACATCAGATAAATACAGATTGTGTGACACACTGACTTTAACAGCACACCCAAAGGCAAAGCTAAGTTAATTACTATGTAAATGAATTTGTGTGTGTGTGTGTGTGTGTGTGTGTGTGTGTGTGTGTGTGTGTGTGTGTGTGTGTGTGTGTGTGTGTGTGTGTGTGTGTGTGTGTGTAAAGTAGAGCTGCAATGATTAGTCAGCTGATAGATAACTCATTAGTAGAAGGAATGTTAAAAAAATGCTGTTTTTATCCTCTCAAATATGTAGATTTCCACTGTTTTATTTCACATTAAAGAAAATATCCTTGAGTTTGGACAGACAAAACCATTGAACATTTTTAACTTCTATTTTTTAGACCAAAACGATTAATTGAGAAAACGATCAGTAGATTAATCAATAATGCTAATTATCATTGCATCCCTTGTGTTAAATTCCTGCGCGTAATGAAAGTAAGCGATGCCTCATCCTGTCCTGGTAATGTAACAATGTAATTGATCACAGCTGTCTCTAAGGTTATATCAACATCTATTTACAAGACTAGTTACCCTGCATGACAAACTGTAAGTGATGCATGTGTTAACATGTCAGGTTTACGTAACCGCGGCTACCTTCGTCAGGACAATCTGAGGTTAACCTTGACAGTAAGGTCGTTTTGTCCTCACTTCTCTACTGAGGGTATTATATTAATGAGGGTCCTTTTACTATAACATATTAAGACTAACAATTCATTTTACTATCAATTCATCTGCAAATCCTTTTCTATATTAATATTTCTATAAAATCATACTTTTTTTACATTTTAAAATAGAGGCTAAAACTGGATTTTGGTATCCATTTTTGCATGTAAATGTACTATAATCATTACTTTCTCATTGCAATAGTAGGCAATGCTTTTTTCTCAATGGACTAATCATTGCAGCTCCACAGTTTACAGTGGTGTTTTGGGTGTGATGCCAAAACCAAATAAATGTGCTTAATCACTGAATGTTTCAGCTGTGTTATTGATCAGGCTCCTCCCTCAGCCTGACGTCCAGAAGCAGACTCCTCCATCATGGTCAATGGTGTGTGACCTTGTGTGTGTGTGTGTGTGTGTGTGTGTGTGTTTATGTGTGTGTGTGTGTGTGTGTGTGTGTGTGTGTGTGTGTGTGTGTGTGTGTGTGTGTGTGTGTGTC